TTTATATATATATAATAGCTTGGTTTCAGTTCCTCTTTTCTCCCATTTGATCCATGTTCTTTGCATTCCAGGTACTGAAAATTTAATAATAATAAATATGGATAATGTGAACCGTGCATGACTTTAGGATGTGTTTGTGATTTGGGGTGGGAAATCTCTTTAAATATATTAGCATCCAACAAACAGTGTTTTGCTTCTTTGTGCCTTTGAGAGTTTGTGGAGACTTTACAAGAATACTGATTATTTAGAGAAAAACATTCTTTGACATACAAATTATCTTCAAAAGGATAATGTTAATACTGTGCTAAAATGAAATCCCTTGAGGAAAGCTTATGGCATCAACACATGGCTGAAGATGAGTGAACTGATTTGCAATAGGACACATTTCATCCAGTCAGGCTCACGGAAAGTCAGGGACTTTGACATCTGAATAGCTGGGCCTGATAAGGTACTTCTTTCCTAGGAAGGTGAAATACACAAACGTGACAGGGGTCATTGCAAAAGGCACTATCAGAACCACTGACTTCGTTGGTTTGTAGATAAATTGATTTTAAGGGTTTCACATCAGAAAGAATAAACTATTAAAGTCTTTACTTTTCAACAGTGAAAACTGTTTTATTTTCAGTAACCATCTGCTTTGTGGTGAAATGGCATCAAGCAAGAATAAATATGATAAAAAGGAATTTTTTGTGTTTATATTCATAAGACTGGGTCACTTATAAATCATTACTTGCAGACTTCTCTCCTGAGAACTTTGGTTTCAGTTTTATCCTCTGTTGATTAGCAGGGAAATTTCTTCTGCATTAAACAAATTCTTTGTAGATTTATTGTGTAATTGATTTCTTGTGCATTAAGGGTCAGAAGATTAAGGTTTTATACCTGGTATCCTGGTTTACTTATTGGGAAAATTACTTCACTGAGCTTATTTCTTAAGTATAAAGTGGACATATTTATGATTTCTTCACAGTGTTACTGTAAGCACAAATGAGGTAAATGTGAAATTATTTTTCATAATCTGTAGTGCAATATAAAATTGTAAAAGTGATGTGGCAGTGATGTCTGACTTCTAATTTCACAAGGGGGAAGGAGAATCAAGACCAATTAATTGTCTAAGGCTGATTCCTACGAGGCAAAGATCAGACATGCCTCCTTCCTCCAGCCTTTTTACTAATTCTGACATCAACAATCCCTGCAATGACACTCTTCCCTTCTCTGCTACATTCAGTAACTCATTGCAATGGCCACACAGAACTCATAGACCATACTTAAGATTATGTGGTGTATTAGGGAAGTAATAGGCCACAACTCAGGATCGGGATCAACTTAGAAGTAACAGAAAGAAACAAGTCAGAATACAGTTCTTAATCAGCTCAGCTTCTTGTAGTCCTCTGCTGATGGGCCCTGCTTGGAGAGTTCTTGGACAAGTGTTACAACTCTCAGCTCTGTGGGACTGTGAGTCTAGCTCCATCAAGTGCCTAGAGGCACCCCACTCCACCAGCAGGTCTCCTGCCCAAAGGCACTCAGCTTTCATGCCCTGTGGGCCGGGAAGCCCACTGCACCATCTTCTGTCTGTCTCCTGGTTCTGTTGTCTCTGCTGCTGCCATTTCTCTGCCACTGCTCACCATTGTTTCTTTGTGTCTTCCCTGTTACAGCTTTCTTTCTCTCTGTCTCCTGGGTCTGAGAGATTCCCAGCATGGGTACCCTGAGTCCAAAGGATGCACTTCTCTCCATCACCTCTTCTTTGTGGTAGTGAGTTCTCCCCTCTTCTCTGGAGTTGGCTCTCTTTTAAGTCTAGCAGGATAGTGAAACTGAACAATCCCATCTTTGTGTTTCATACACCTTATTTGCATAGTCCTATTCCCAAAGAGTGCCATACACCTTATTTACATGATTAGGAACTGTCCAATCCCCTTGGTGATCCATAAGCACTTTATTTGCATAGTTCCATCCAATCATTTGGTGGGAGTTTCAAGGACTGTAGGCCATAATATGTAATTCACTGCACTGTAAAAATGTAAGGGATGTTAAGAAAATCTAAAAAAAAAGGGGGAGGTGATGGTGGAATTTACTGGTTCATTTTTCAAAGGTAGGAGGGCACAAGCATCTATAAATAAGCTTCTTTAGAGACTTGTGCTCATAAACAATTTATAGAGAGGCATTTATATTGTATACACATGTGTGAATATTATCAGATATTTTCTATGATGACTACAGATGTTCAATGAATGTGATTAATAGACATGTAACAATAAATGATTAAGCTTTTAATTACATTATTTGTTATTTAATCCTTGCTCCATGCAGAAAGAAAACACTGTTAATGCAAAAAAGTAAAATTTTCAATTTTCAAAATGACTTCACAGCCTAAGTTGTAAAGTAAGGACATACTACCACTCATTTGTGTCTCTGGTCCTTGGCCTCCTGTATAATTTTCTGCAGGCTGGTTCAGGAATGGATGACAAGTCCCTTTAATTCTAAACTGTTCTGAAGAGTCTAGCTGCCTGGAGGATGGGCTTTGGATAGTATTCTCTCTCCAAAATCTGGGACCTAAGGAAAAGTGCCACTTTAGATAGTGAGAAAGGAAAAAAGAAATGCATTTATTTTGCTATATTTACTAGTCTTCAGCTAAGTTCCCTCCATAATTGCCCTCAATTTCCTCACTTGTATAACAAAACTCTGGTGGTGTAGTGCCTAAAGCATTTGACTACTAACCAGAAGGCTAGCAGTTCAAACCTACCAGCCACTCCTTGGAAGAAAGGTTGGTCAATCTACCTCTGTAGTGATACCGCCTTGGAAATCCAAGGAGGGGTCGCTGTGAGTTGGGTCTGACTCCATGGCAGTGGGTTTGGTTTTTTTGCTTTGGTATAACAAAACAAGCACTACTGACCGCAATATGAGCAAGTATGTCAAGAGAGCAAAAACCAAGAAGGACACAACTTTGAAATCTCCACAATCAATATTATTATTATTTAAATAGGAAAAATCATAAAATGACTTTTTTTCTTATTTCTCAGAAATACTGCTCTCTGAGAACAACTTTCAGTTGAGGATCAAAGAAGCCAGCATCATATGAAATGGTTTTCTGAGATGATGTGAAGATTTTTCTCTCGTAAGCTTGTGTGCATAGTACGTAATGCTGAAGAAATTGCAGGAAAAGTAAAACAAGGAGCATGGCTTTTCCTGGTAGAGTTAAGTTCCCTAGGGCATACAATGAGCTATTTCATTTCCTGAGGCTATTGAACTAGCTTTTGGGACTTATCAACAGGAAACAAACCATGAGCCCTGTAACAGCAGGAAGTGTGAGATGTGTGATTGGGAGCATTAGTTTGGGGACACATGCAGATTATAAACTGAGCAAAACAGCTAAGTAGGTTGTCTCAGGGTGGACCTTGACATTTAGGAGTCAAATGCTTTGTAGAGAGAGTCTTACTGTTTTTGAAGAAAGCAAGAAGAAGTGTAATATAATTTAAAATGTACATGACTTTTTTACAAAGTTGATTTTATGACTAGCATGTTAAGATCCAATAATATTTCTCCTTCTTATTCTCTCAGAAACATTATTCTAACATTTTCATTTTTATACATTTAAAGTGCCTTAAACTTTTTAAAATTTGTAGGGAACTTTTGCTCCCCTTTTTCTCTTTTTAAATCTTAGAATTCAATGAGATGAGTCAAAGATAGTCTATTTATTATTGGTGGAACTAGGGTATAAAACTGGTTATCTCAGCACTAAGGCACAATCTCTTACCACAAACAAACAAAACTCACTCCCGTGGAGTCAGATCTGACTCATAGCAACCC